GAGTGCCCATCCCTGGAGGTGTCCAAGGAAGGGCTGGAGGTGGCACTCAGAGCTCTGGGCTGGGGACAAGGTGGGGATGGGCACAGCTTGGACTCCMTGGGCTGGGAGGGMTTTTCCARCCTCAGGGATCCTGGRATTCTGTGAACTCTTGCCAGAACAGTTCTTCAGAGAACTTTGTACCAGAGGTACCTGAGGAGGTTTTGCTGCCTTTCCTGTGGGGCTCAAAGCAAGAGCCTTGCCTTTATTTCCACTTCCACGTGCCCTGAGAGAACTCTTGGGCACTTTGCCCACCCAGCACCGTGCTCTGAGGCTGAACAGACAGCAAGAATTCCATTAGAAGGGCGAAGCACACGGATGAGCTGATCAGTGCTGGAAGAGCAGGATTTCAGTGGAGGAGCATTGCTGGAGGAGGGGAAGGGTGGGTTCATTCAAGCACAAAGAATTGCAGGTGGAATTAGCTGTGAAAGAAATGGCTTGGGATGCATACACATGAGGATGTKGGCAGCAGGAAGGGCATGGAAAGAGGAGCAGATCAAGTGAAATGAAAGCTCTTGAGTGACTGGGCGCTCAGAGAAGGACTAGAGAAATGTGATTGGAATGGTGGGAGAAAGGATTGGCTGAGATTACAGCTCAGTTTAAAAAAGAGGAGGCAAAATGCGTTGAAGTGAGAGGTAGCTTCGGGTGCTTCAAAGCTGAAATTAGTTTTCCTTCCATTCTTTTGGCAAAGTTCTGGGTGGGAATATTGGGAAGACTCGTGCATGGGAATGGTTAGGACTCATGGGTTGGGAAAAGCCCCGTGTGGGAATGATTAGGAGGAGTTAGGGGTGGGAATGGTTAGGTGGAATTTCTGGGTGGGAAGGTTGGGATAACTCGTGGGTGGGAATCAGCCACAGCAGCAGACTGAGACTCAGTTCTGAGTGGCTGGTGCTGCTGGTCACTGCTGGTGACCAAGACCAAGAAATGGCCATTCAGGAAGCAGCTTTGTCATGTGAGATTGCCCAGAAATCATACAAAGAGTGCCATTAATGCATGTAATGAATATCAGTTGCCTATAGTAAATTTGGAAGCCTTTAGCACGGTATTTTTAGTTGTTACATTTTTGGGTGCCTACAAGATTCCACTTGAGGGGRTCTGGTCCCAACACATCCTAAAATAAATCTCTTTCAAGGAATTTCATCCTGGATGGTCAACACTGTTCACCTTCAGCCTCTCTCCAGAAACATCCCACATAAGCAGTAAAATTCTGCAGCTTTTGTTCAGGTCTCCTCCAGGCTTCTGTTTGTCCCCTCTTCCCACTTTGGCACATGAAAATGGGAAAAGCTGCAATTTTTAGGTCCTTGGAATCCTGTTAGGGTCATGGCAACTTGCAAAATGTTGTTTCTGACCCAMATTCTCCAGTCCTTTTTCTGAAGAGTGATGTGGTAATATTGAGGATTTGAGATTCTGATGGAGAGCTCTATATTTTAAAATGTGTTAATGTTCTGGGGAGTGTGAAAATTATTAATTACTGCTTTGTTTTTATGATTTTATTTACCCCAAATTTCTTGGTTATGTTGGTGGAAGCACCCACAGCCTTAACTCTGTATATTTTGAAGACCTTCCTTAAATACTTCTGTACTAGAGCTGCCTCAGATACCTTTCCTTTTTTTAGGATMCTTCCTTTTCCTTAATATCCTCATTTGCCAAGTGCTCCCAAAGCAYGGAGTTGTTTTCCCCAGTTGAGTTTTTGTGAGGCTTGGCCTGTTCATTTTCCTGGGAATTCTGTTATCAGTCTGTGAGTGCCTCCAAAAATGTTGGGTGTAAAGACAAATAAATAAACTCAGGTGAACACAACACCCTTGAAAGAAAACATCTCAAGCTTAACCAAATTTGAGGATTTGGGTTCATTCCCCTGATTTAGCTCCAATCTTTGCTGTCTTATACGTACTTTGGGATTAGAACTCATGCTGAGTGAAGGGTGTTTTGGGGGTGATTTTGTCCCAAATTTGGGGCTGGAACAGAGCAAACCTGGTACCTCCAGYTTTCCTGGGCATGGTTGAAAAATCCAACAGACATTTATCCCATGAAAGATGTAGGAGAGGATGAGTGGAAACTTCTTGGCAACCCCCAGCCTGATGTTGGTTGAATTTGCAGGGRGCAAAGCATCTGGGATGAAAATTCCAAGGTTTGGGGCAGTCTAAATATCAGTAGACACTCTTTATTTAGAAAATATTTGGAGGTTTTGGTGATGTATAAATGCACATTGCTTCTGATAGGGTGACACAAGGGATGAAGGCATTTATGGAGTTTAGATGCAGCGTTGATAAGTTGTGACAGGAATGTAGCGAGGACTGTTCCATAAAATAAGRCAAAAAAGGACAGATTAAACTACTGTAATAACAGCAGAAGAGCAAAACTTATTGGATAAAGCTCTTGCTAGCAAAGGTGGAAAACCACTAAAAATAACACCAAAAAAAAGAAAGAAAGGAAAAAGAAAAAAAAAAAGAAAAAGAAAAGAAAAGAAAAGAAAAGAA